CCGATGCGGGACTCGATCCAGGGACTCCAGGATCATGACCTGAGCCGAAGGCAGTCGCTTAACCAACTGAGCCACCGAGGCGCCCCAATCCTTAAAGATTTTTATTTATTTAGAGATATAGCAGGGGAGGGGAGGGGCAGAGGGAGAGGAAAGATAGTCCTAAGTAGACTCTGTGCCGAGCATGGAGCCCGATACGGGGCTCAACATGAGGCTCGACCCCACAACTGTGAGATCAAGACAGAACTGAAATCAAGAGTCCAAGCTCAACTGACTGAGCCACCCAGGCACCTCATTTTGTTTAAAGATTTTATTTATTAAGATTCTCTCTCCCTCTGCCCCCCACCCAGAACTCACACTCTCTCAAACAAACAACTAAAAAAGAACACATCTTAGTAAGTCCTACACTGGGACCTATTTTTTTTTTTTCTATTTTAAAAGAAATGATGTAAATGAATTCTCTGAAACAAAGGCACATTTTGAGGAGGAAATGTGCTCACAGTTTGGGGAAGTTTCAAAGGATTTAATATATGCCTACAAAAAAAGATTGGCACAGTCAGGATGTCAACAATGCTTTTCTACTGAGGGTCAGGACTATGGCCAAAGCAGTTATCCTAAGAACAAGAACCATTCTTGATAGGGTGTGTACACAAATCCAGAGGTTACTTCTGACTCTTAACAATACTAAGGATCAGAAGTCCTAAGTGAACTCAAATTCCCTGAGGACAGGACCTCCCAGATATCCTGGAGATAGGCTGACTCCTTGCCTCTAAGCTGTACAGACCCTTCCCCCTACTGGTGAGATTAGTGGTTCACTAGGGCAGTCCACAGGAGTCTATAAGGGGGTCTACCTGTTAATCTTGTATAATATGGATGCCTACATTATGATAATGTCACACAATGTTCTGTCATCCTCTTAGTCATCAAGCACTATAGACTCTGCCTCCACAGTGTCTCTCCATGTCATCCTTTTCATTTCACTACCATCACCTAAGCACAGTTCACCTAAAATTCTTGCCTATCATATTGTAGTACCTCCTAATTTATTTGCTTCCAATCCTTTTTCCCTCAATCCATTCTAAAACCCACAATTAGAATACTGAACCTAAATCAGAGCCTACAGCACAGTACTCTAGTGCTCAGTGGATCCCAACTGCCTAGAAAAGTTCAAAGCTCTTTGGCTCTCAAAGCCCTCAATAATATCACCCCATCCCACTTTTCTAGCCTTTATATATCCCATATTAGTAAACATTCAGATTCATCCATTCAACAATGGAGTATCTAGGCATGGCTAGGGTTACAGAGGGAAACACAGTAAATGTCCCCATTAAGTGGACAGCCAGTAGAAGAGATGAGTAAAACTGAGGAGTAGCCAGGGTGGAAAAAGGAAAACCAGGAGAGTGTGGTGCCCTAAAAGCACATAAATAAAGTGTTTCAAGAAGGGAATGATCAACCACATCAAATACTGTGAAACGTCAAGTAAGATGAGGCCTGCAAATTGACCCCTAGAATTTGCCCATGAGAGTCATTGATGACATGACGAGAATGGTTTCAGTGGAATGGTGAGCATGTAGGCTTGAATGGGGTGGGTTCAAGAAAGAAAGCTGGTAAGGAGGTTGAAGATGTTTGCTATAAAGGAGAGAATCAAAGAATTTGGGTTCTAGGGAAGGCAAAAAGCCCTCAAAAAGAGGATGTAAGAGAGAACATCGGGTTTGTATGTTGGCAGGAATGATTCAACAGAGAGAAATTGATAGAAGAATGTAAAGGGATAGGGGCGCCTGGGTGGCTCAGTCTGTTAGGCATCTGAATCTTGATTTTGGCTTAGGTCATGATCTCAAGATAGTGAGATCAAGCCCTGCATCGAGCTCGATGCTCAGCGTGGACTCTGCTTCAGATTCCCTCTCCCTCCCCGTCTCCCTCTGCCCCACTCACACACGTGCACACTCTCGCTCTAAAAATAAAATCTTAAAAAAAACAAAACATAAAGGGATAACTGCAAGTACTTGAGGCAAAGAAGTGGGGTCCAATGCACAAGGGAAGAGGCTGACCTGAGATAACAGGGAAGGTTCATTTATTTTAATCACACAAAAAGCAGGCAGAATGGTGGAAGGAGTAAATTAGTAGACTCGGTGGTGAGAAATGGAGTTTTTCTCTTCTGATTGCTTCCATTTTCGCAGTGAAGTAAGTTAAACAGCTGAGAATGAGGAAGGCAAGAGGGAACACTGGAGGTTTAGGGACAGAAGAGAAGGTGTGCAATAGTCATCTTGGACCATAAGGGAGTGAATGGAAGAAATGCAATAGGAATGCTGAGCACTTGAGGTTTCTAGCTATAAACTTAAAATGAAACCAGCAATGCATTTCCTTTTTCAGCCTTTAAAAAGAAAAAGCATTTGCACTTGCTGTTTCCTCAATCTCTCTCCTTGTCTATCTGATAAAATTGCATTCTAGAAAGCCCACTAAAAAAGCTACTTCTTCCAAAAGGTCATATAGCTCTCCTAGCCCAAAGTGATTCTTCCAACCTCTCAACTCCAAAAATAAATTGTTGATGCCTCCTATAGAGCATGTATTCCATCTCACATGGTTAGTACTGTGCAAGGTTAGAAGTTTCTTAAATTAGAGAAACCAGGGGCGCCTGGGTGGCTCAGATGGTTAAGCATCTGCCTTCAGCTCAGGTCATGATCCCAGCGTCCTGGGATCAAGTCCCGCACTGGGGTCCCTGCTGGGTGGGGAGCCTGCTTCTCCCTCTGCCTCTCTCTCTCTCTCCCCCTCTCTGACTCTCATGAATAAATAAATAAATAAAAATTAGAGAAACCATTCTTTTATTTAAATTTTAGTTAACATACACTGCAATATTGGTTTCAGGAGAATTCAGTGATTCATCACTTACATACAACACCCAGTGCTCATCACAAGTGCCCTCTTTAATGCCCATCACCCATCCAGCCCATCCCCCACCCACCTCCCTCCATCAACCCTCAGTTTGTTCTCTATCATTAGGAGTCTCTTATGGTTTGTTTCCCTGTCTCCCCCCCCTTCCCATATGTTCATCTGTTTTGTGTCTTAAATTCCACATATAAATGAAATCATATGGTATTTGTCTTTCTCTGATTGACTTATTTCACTTAGTATAATACATTCTAGCTCCACCCACGTTGTTGCAAATGGCAAGATTTCATTTTTTGATGGCTGAGTAATATTCCATTGTATATTTATACCACATCGTCTTTATCCATTCATTAATCGATGGGACATTTGGGCTCTTTCCATAGTTTGGCTATTGTGGGTAATGCTGCTCTAAACATCGGGGTGCATATACCCCTTTGAATCTGTATTTTTATATCCTTTGGGTAAATGCCTAACAGTGCAATTGCTGGATCATAGGGTAGTTCTATTTTTAGTTTTTTTGAGGAACCTCCATACTGTTCTCCAGAGTGGCTGCACCAGTTTAGAGAAACCATTTCTTATTCATTACAACCACAGGATATTTCTCTCTGTCCTCTCTCCCACATATTATAAATCCCCATGGTTCTAGGTCTTGCCATATAATTATGTGATATGGGTGCCCTAGCTCCTTATTAAACTGGGATATTTTGGGGAACAGGAACCTTGCTCACCTTTCCAGCTTATGTCCCTCAAACACCTGGCTCTTGAATTTTAGCTATTATTTCTACAGATCTTTTTAACAAAACAAAAAGGGGGGGTTGCTTCCATTACTGTTAACTCGCATATATGGCATATAGCAGGATCCCTGTCCTCAAGAGGTTTTACCACTAGAATCAAAAGTGCCTCATACTCAGTAAGAAAATAAAAGGTATCAGGGGCGCCTGGGTGGCTCAGTCGTTAAGCGTCTGCCCTCGGCTCAGGTCATGATCCCAGGGTCCTGGGATGGAGCCCCGCATCGAGCCCCGCATCAGGATGCCCGCTCGGCTGGAAGCCTGCTTCTCCCTCTCCCACTCCCCCTGCTTGTGTTCCCTCTCTCGCTCTCTGTCAAATAAATAAATAATCTTAAAAATTAAATATAAATAAATAAAAGGTGTCAGGAGTCTCAGAAAAGGTGCTAATAGGGTAAGGCTTACACGTAAATAACCAGAGACTGTGGAGTAGAGATGGGGCATGAGAGAAAGCAAGTGGGGAGAGGCACGAATAAAACTTACCAGGGGCACAACAATTTCATTTAGTCAACTTACATATAAATGATCCATAGGGCAGTTCTTGGAGCGTCCCTATTTCCAAACATTGTTGGACTGAGAGCAAAGGTTGTGCAAAATAACTGCAGGTCCCCAACAGTGCCCTCTTAAGTACCCGTGTTATCTAGACCGTTGTTCCCCAGCCACGCCAGAACTGCCCCAGCCCCTTTACTCAGTCTCTGCGTGATTCAATGGGTTAAGACTTTGGTACCGAAAAAAAAAAGCCTTTGCCACAGAAACAACAGCGGGGGCTCGAAACCAGGACTCTGGGAAGCAGCGAGAAAATGACTGGCAAGCCCACTTGAGCACCTGGGAAGACCTGGAACCCACCAGCCCAAGCGCCCGGGCCGCCCTTACGTAACCGGCCGCGCTGCCCTCGAGCGCCGGAAGACCCCGCCCAGCCCTTAAGCCCCGCCCCTACCCAACCGGCCGGTGAGGTGCCGTGCGCAATTCTCCGGAAGCTTCCGCCCCTTTCCCCTTTTATGGGACTACACTTTTTTTTTTTAAACTTGCTGACGCCACCATAGGACTGGCCCTAAAACCACGATATAGAAGCTCCTCTCACAGTCGTACTTCCGCTTCCTTACACTGAGGAATCAGGGCCTCCCCCATTTTTCTCACCCAGGAGGCGGCGGCGGCAGCGGCAGCGGCAGCTTGCGATGTTTGGCCTCAAAAGAAACGCAGTAATTGGACTCAACCTCTACTGTGGGGGGGCCGGGCTAGGGGCCGGCAGCGGTGGGGCCTCCTCTTCGGGAAGGCGGCTTTTGGCTTCGGGGAAGGAGGCCACGGCCCGGCGGGAGGTAGGGGGAGGGGAAGCCGGTGCGGTGATTGGCGGAAGCGCCGGCGCGAGTGCCCCGGCCACTCTTGCGCCGGACGCCCGGAGGGTCGCGCGGCCCTCGCCCATTGGCGCCGAGGGCCCCGACGTCACCGCGACCCCCCCAAGGCTGCTGTTCTTCGAGCCCACCCGCCGCGCGTCGCCGCCTGAAGAGATGGAAGGCCCAGCCGCCGACGCCATCATGTCGGCCGAAGCGGAGCTGGACGGGTACGAGCCGGAACCTCTGGGGAGGCGGCCGGCTGTCCTGCCTTTGTTGGAGTTGGTCGGGGAGGCTAGCAGTGGCCCTTGCAGGGACGGCTCACTGCCCTCGACGCCACCCCCAGCAGAGGAGGAGGAAGACGAGTTGTACCGGCAGTCGCTGGAGATTATCTCTCGGTACCTTCGGGAGCAGGCAACAGGCGCCAAGGACGCGAAACCACTGG